ATTATATAAAGATGGTGTCAATAAAAGTTTATTGACATGCTACTCCGTACGTATTATATAAAGATGGTGTCAATAAAAGTTTATTATATAAAGATGGTGTCAACAAACTCTTCTACTTATATACTACTCCGTACGTATTATACTAATTTAGGCGGCAAATTTCCCTCCAAAAAAGTTTTTTGTTTGCTATCACTTGATCGTTGACATGCTAGTTTCTCTTCCGAATTCCTACCGAGAATGAGAGATTAGCTCTTCTACTTTCTCGTTGACATGCTAGTTTCTCTTCCAAAAGTAGTAACAAACTCTTCTACTTTATACTACTCCGTACGTATTATATAAAGATGGTGTCAATAAAAGTTTATTATATAAAGATGGTGTCAACAAGCTCTTCTACTTATATACTACTCCGTACGTATTATACTAATTTAGGCGGCAAATTTCCCTCCAAAAAAGTTTTTTGTTTGCTATCACTTGATCGTTGACATGCTAGTTTCTCTTCCGAATTCCTACCGAGAATGAGAGATGAGCTCTTCTACTTTCTCGTTGACATGCTAGTTTCTCTTCCAAAAGTAGTAACAAACTCTTCTACTTTATACTACTCCGTACGTATTATATAAAGATGGTGTCAATAAAAGTTTATTATATAAAGATGGTGTCAACAAACTCTTCAACTTATATACTACTCCGTACGTATTATACTAATTTAGGCGGCAAATTTCCCTCCAAAAAAGTTTTTTGTTTGCTATCACTTGATCGTTGACATGCTAGTTTCTCTTCCGAATTCCTACCGAGAATGAGAGATGAGCTCTTAATGAAAGCACCAATGTTGGTAGAAAATATCCCGGGTAGAGAAACTAGCAGCATTTCAGTATAGTAAAATAGCGTAGAGAATACATGGGGGATGATGGCCTATTTATAGGCATCCATCATAAGTCCAAAGTCTAACCTACGTGGGCTTGACCCAAATACATAATACATGTCCAAGCTAATGGGCGAACTGGCCCGATAAATAAGTAAATGAGCAAGGGGCGATTCCCGCTCGTGAGACTGCGTCTTGGGCCTAGTTGGGCCAAAGCTCGGGGATAATGGGCCGATGGCACTAGGCCTGGTCTATTATCCCAACAATGTATTTCTCACACTTATACTAGAATATTTTGAATTTTAATGTATCTCTTAGCCTCTTCAAATAGAGTTCTAGTTCCACACCTGATTGAGCCATTCAAATTTTAATGTACAAAAATCTGTTGTCTCTTTAATCTATTCACTTGATATTAGTTTTTCATTTTTTTCATTCAGCCTTTTCAAAGTTTAATAATCTACTTCATTTAATTTTAAGTTTTTAACACATATTTCTTGTGTGTTGTTAGTAGGCTGGTGCTGAAGTTTACTTTGCTCCGAAATTTAGTATTAGTACTTAAGATAAAAATCATGCCTCCCTTCTTAGCGAAAAAATAGATATAGGAAAAGTTCATCAAAGAGCATATAAAATGTAGTGAGAAGTGTACAGGATAAACGAGTTGTAATGCATGGAGTGATTCCATACAGTTAGACATGTTTCTGATTGATGTGAGTTTTCTCGTACTCAAAATATGTAGCAGTATAAGGTATAAGTACGAGTATCATCTCCACAGAGATGGAAAAAGGGAATCATGAATTGAATTAATTCAGCGATAAAAATAAATAAATTAATTAATTAAATTGTTCGAGATTTGGATTTTTTGGAAAATTAAAATGCAAATAAGAAGCTAAATTAAACTAATGGATTCTTTTAATTAATGACGATAGGGAACATGGATTGATTCCGGGGTAATTGGATTTCTGGCGGATCATGCTTAATCTCAACAGCGATTATCTTACTTCCTTGTTTGTTTTCACCTTGCTCCTTTGAGATTCTTGTCATGGTGTCTTCATATGATTTGTAGCCCTTGAAGTTATCTTTCATACAAAACTTGAATCGTGTACTTTGAATGTTTCTAAAAATAGATATGTTTGAACGATTAACAAAACATCATTCTGATCGCCGTTTTCAAGTTCTCTTCGTCCCCGTTTGATCTCATACTTGATCCTTGAGCTCTCTTGACTTCAAAATCACTCATTTTATGAATCGTGGACCTTCAATGCTTCTCAATAAATCTCAAATGTGTCTCGAGTCCTCCCGATTAATTCTCCAACGTCGGTTTCGGACTTCTGACTGAATTTCCTGATTTTAATTCTAAAAACACCAAATGCAAACCAAAACCCCGTAAAATATTACTTGAGCTAATTATGAGGCTTGTGACGCATTTTAGCTAGGAAAACCATCAAAAGCCGATCTCAACACATCAAATGCATGTCAAAATACAGACTTATAATTGATATGGTCACTAACCTTTCTTTGAAATGTGGAATTGATGATTTTTTTATAGCTAAATATGATAATGCATGTCTGAACTCAGAAGAGGTCTAAGATATGATAAGACTTAATTCTAATATGTTGGATTAGAATGATCTTAATGGTTCAAAACTAGATCTATAATCTATAGAGAACATGCTCAAAAATTTTTGGAGAACATGTTCACATCCAAAAGCATTTCAAATGGGCTTGACCGCACAAGGATTATGGTCAGGTGCGCCTGATACGAATGTATTCATTCCTAATATTATGTTAGTCTGTCTTACTCTATTTTTCCATATGTGTCTTTGTCTTATGGTATTCCTTTGGGTATTACTATTATTAGGAATTATTAAAATCTAGCAAGACATTAAGGGTTGGTTTGCAAATGCTTTAAAAAGCATTTCTCACCTTTTGGCTTAAAAAAACACTTATTTTACCAAATACTATCAACTTTTATTTTTCTCGGCTTTCGTGTCAAAAGTGTTTTTAGTTTTTCTATTACACAAAAAGCACTTATTTTACCAAACACTACCAACTTTTACTCTTCAAAATCACTTTTTTCTCAAATATTATCAACTTTTATTTAATCACTTATCCCCATTAAAAAAACACTTTTTTTAAAATAGAAGCTGTTGCAAACAGACCCTAATACATTTTAAGCCCTAATACATTTTAATGATCAGTAATTTCCTCCGTCATATCTACTACCAAATTAGCAAACTTACCAAATGAATAACTTCGAGACTAACGCATGGGCCACATGCAGTTCACTTTTGACATTAATTTCCCATTATGCCCTAATTTAGGCGGCAAATTTCCCTCCAAAAGTAGTAACAAACTCTTCTACTTTATACTACTCCGTACGTATTATATAAAGATGGTGTCAATAAAAGTTTATTGACATGCTACTCCGTACGTATTATATAAAGATGGTGTCAATAAAAGTTTATTATATAAAGATGGTGTCAACAAACTCTTCTACTTATATACTACTCCGTACGTATTATACTAATTTAGGCGGCAAATTTCCCTCCAAAAAAGTTTTTTGTTTGCTATCACTTGATCGTTGACATGCTAGTTTCTCTTCCGAATTCCTACCGAGAATGAGAGATTAGCTCTTCTACTTTCTCGTTGACATGCTAGTTTCTCTTCCAAAAGTAGTAACAAACTCTTCTACTTTATACTACTCCGTACGTATTATATAAAGATGGTGTCAATAAAAGTTTATTATATAAAGATGGTGTCAACAAGCTCTTCTACTTATATACTACTCCGTACGTATTATACTAATTTAGGCGGCAAATTTCCCTCCAAAAAAGTTTTTTGTTTGCTATCACTTGATCGTTGACATGCTAGTTTCTCTTCCGAATTCCTACCGAGAATGAGAGATGAGCTCTTCTACTTTCTCGTTGACATGCTAGTTTCTCTTCCAAAAGTAGTAACAAACTCTTCTACTTTATACTACTCCGTACGTATTATATAAAGATGGTGTCAATAAAAGTTTATTATATAAAGATGGTGTCAACAAACTCTTCTACTTATATACTACTCCGTACGTATTATACTAATTTAGGCGGCAAATTTCCCTCCAAAAAAGTTTTTTGTTTGCTATCACTTGATCGTTGACATGCTAGTTTCTCTTCCGAATTCCTACCGAGAATGAGAGATGAGCTCTCAATGAAAGCACCAATGTTGGTAAAAAATATCCCGGGTAGAGAAACTAGCAGCATTTCAGTATAGTAAAATAGCGTAGAGAATACATGGGGGATGATGGCCTATTTATAGGCATCCATCACAAGTCCAAAGTCTAACCTACGTGGGCTTGACCCAAATACATAATACATGTCCAAGCTAATGGGCGAACTGGCCCGATAAATAAGTAAATGAGCAAGGGGCGATTCCCGCTCGTGAGACTGCGTCTTGGGCCTAGTTGGGCCAAAGCTCGGGGATAACGGGCCGATGGCACTAGGCCTGGTCTATTATCCCAACAATGTATTTCTCACACTTATACTAGAATATTTTGAATTTTAATGTATCTCTTAGCCTCTTCAAATAGAGTTCTAGTTCCACACCTGATTGAGCCATTCAAATTTTAATGTACAAAAATCTGTTGTCTCTTTAATCTATTCACTTGATATTAGTTTTTCATTTTTTTCATTCAGCCTTTTCAAAGTTTAATAATCTACTTCATTTAATTTTAAGTTTTTAACACATATTTCTTGTGTGTTGTTAGTAGGCTGGTGCTGAAGTTTACTTTGCTCCGAAATTTAGTATTAGTACTTAAGATAAAAATCATGCCTCCCTTCTTAGCGAAAAAATAGATATACGAAAAGTTCATCAAAGAGCATATAAAATGTAGTGAGAAGTGTACAGGATAAACGAGTTGTAATGCATGGAGTGATTCCATACAGTTAGACATGTTGCTGATTGATGTGAGTTTTCTCGTACTTAAAATATGTAGCAGTATAAGGTATAAGTACGAGTATCATCTCCACAGAGATGGAAAAAGGGAATCATGAATTGAATTAATTCAGCGATAAAAATAAATAAATTAATTAATTAAATTGTTCGAGATTTGGATTTTTTGGAAAATTAAAATGCAAATAAGAAGCTAAATTAAACTAATGGATTCTTTTAATTAATGACGATAGGGAACATGGATTGATTCCGGGGTAATTGGATTTCTGGCGGATCATGCTTAATCTCAACAGCGATTATCTTACTTCCTTGTTTGTTTTCACCTTGCTCCTTTGAGATTCTTGTCATGGTGTCTTCATATGATTTGTAGCCCTTGAAGTTATCTTTCATACAAAACTTGAATCGTGTACTTTGAATGTTTCTAAAAATAGATATGTTTGAACGATTAACAAAACATCATTCTGATCGCCGTTTTCAAGTTCTCTTCGTCCCCGTTTGATCTCATACTTGATCCTTGAGCTCTCTTGACTTCAAAATCACTCATTTTATGAATCGTGGATCTTCAATGCTTCTCAATAAATCTCAAATGTGTCTCGAGTCCTCCCGATTAATTCTCCAACGTCGGTTTCGGACTTCTGACTGAATTTCCTGATTTTAATTCTAAAAACACCAAATGCAAACCAAAACCCCGTAAAATATTACTTGAGCTAATTATGAGGCTTGTGACGCATTTTAGCTAGGAAAACCATCAAAAGTCGATCTCAACACATCAAATGCATGTCAAAATACAGACTTATAATTGATATGGTCACTAACCTTTCTTTGAAATGTGGAATTGATGATTTTTTTATAGCTAAATATGATAATGCATGTCTGAACTCAGAAGAGGTCTAAGATATGATAAGACTTAATTCTAATATGTTGGATTAGAATGATCTTAATGGTTCAAAACTAGATCTATAATCTATAGAGAACATGCTCAAAAATTTTTGGAGAACATGTTCACATCCAAAAGCATTTCAAATGGGCTTGACCGCACAAGGATTATGGTCAGGTGCGCCTAGCTGATACGAATGTATTCATTCCTAATATTATGTTAGTCTGTCTTACTCTATTTTTCCATATGTGTCTTTGTCTTATGGTATTCCTTTGGGTATTACTATTATTAGGAATTATTAAAATATAGCAAGACATTAAGGGTTGGTTTGCAAATGCTTTAAAAAGCATTTCTCACCTTTTGGCTTAAAAAAACACTTATTTTACCAAATACTATCAACTTTTATTTTTCTCGGCTTTCGTGTCAAAAGTGTTTTTAGTTTTTCTATTACACAAAAAGCACTTATTTTACCAAACACTACCAACTTTTACTCTTCAAAATCACTTTTTTCTCAAATATTATCAACTTTTATTTAATCACTTATCCCCATTAAAAAAACACTTTTTTTAAAATAGAAGCTGTTGCAAACAGACCCTAATACATTTTAAGCCCTAATACATTTTAATGATCAGTAATTTCCTCCGTCATATCTACTACCAAATTAGCAAACTTACCAAATGAATAACTTCGAGACTAACGCATGGGCCACATGCAGTTCACTTTTGACATTAATTTCCCATTATGCCCTAATTTAGGCGGCAAATTTCCCTCCAAAAGTAGTAACAAACTCTTCTACTTTATACTACTCCGTACGTATTATATAAAGATGGTGTCAATAAATGAGCGCTTAAAGTTTCTTTGAGGGCTAAACCCAAAAACAGGTCATCACAATCCCAGAAGCAAATGTATGTAGGTCATCTTGGCAGTTGCCACGGCATTACATTTTATGATACTAGAACAGATAAAGGCATATTTGTTCAATTCATTCTTAAAGAAGAGGGCTAACTTGATAATGACAGAAGAGAGCAAGCAAGTACTAATAAGCAAAGATGTAGGGATTATGGAAGTTCCAGGTCAATGAATGTGGAAGTTGTTGTGGGGTGAATTTCTGTAGGTGACGGGCGTTCTGTCTCCGTCAATCTCGCTGCCATTCAATGCAGCCTCTCCAAACTGTTTCCGGCTGGGACCCTCCCCGCGGTTCTCCGACAATGCCTTCCTCCTCCGCTCGTTGTGCCCCGCCAATCGCCTCCGGCAGCTCCTTTTTGAATCATCAAATTCTGTAACCTCGTGGAATCTGAACACACAGCCATGTTAAAGGTCTATTTTTCGATAATCAGAAGGCCAATACCAGTCAGTAATACCGAGCATTTTTCATGTTGACCAACTAAAATATTATCGAGTATTACCTCCCTCCTAAAAAGAAGTTCGAATTTTTCTTTTATGGATGTCACAAAAATAAGTTCTCATTTCTATAACAAAAAAACACTTTTAATCCAAAAGTCACAATTACTCTTACTTTTTATCCATTTCTTTGCTTAATTTGACATAAAGTAAGGGTGTACTTGGAAAGTCAAAGCAAAACTCTACCATAAATATGTGTGTAGATCAAACCGTGAATTTCAGTTGTGGACGGATGAGTATTACTTCTCTCAAATATTGTGGTTATTTTCTTTAAGTTTGGCACACTTACTAATAAATGGTCAAAACTTAAAAGTTCTAGTTAAGTTTGTGTAAAAATAAAGTAAAATGAAATGTACCACATACTCCGTATTCATACTGAGTATCAAAGAGGAAAGAAAGACAAGCGAAATAGGACGGAGGAAGTACAATTGAGGAATTGAAATATAAAAAAATAAAAAATGATGAAACAATTAAGAGTAATCATATAAAAGTGATTTTTTTAAAGGTCTATTTTTCGATAATCAGAAGGCCAATACCAGTCACTTATACCGAGCATTTTTCATGTTGACCAACTAAAATATTATCGAGTATTACCTCCCTCCTAAAAAGAAGTTCCAATTTTTCTTTTATGGATGTCACAAAAATAAGTACTCATTTCTATAACAAAAAATCACTTTTAATCCAAAAGTCACAACTACTCTTACTTTTTATCCATTTCTTTGCTTAATTTGACATAAAGTAAGGGTGTACTTGGAAAGTTTAATGAAACAATTGAGGAATCAAATACTTTCTTTGTCTCCTATGTCCCACTAAAATTGTCTCATCTTTTTTTTCCCGGTCCGTCTACTAAGATTGCCTCTACTAAAATTTGATAAAGTTTGTGTGCATTTTAACTCTAAATTATTCTTACTGTATTTTTACATTATGAATTTAATATCGATCACATAAACTCAATTTCATTAATAAGCGCGTCACCTTCTCATGTACCGATGTTGGTGAGACAGAGATAGTAAATTTCAGATTACGCTTACTTATTTGTAGGGTATGCTAGCAATCATTTAATTAGAATTCTCAATTAAATCAGAATAGGATTACTATTTAGTTTAATTAAATCAATTTGAGAATTTAATTATTTTAGGTTTGTAACATAGAGCCCGTTTGGTAGCACGAAAATCGGCTGTTCTGGCTGATTCTGCTTAAATTTATGAAGTTCTGGCTGAAGTGACTGCATTGGCTGATTCTGCTGATTTAAGAAAAAAATATTTTTAAAATATATTTAATTAATAAAATAAAGAAAAATTTATATGTAAAAATAGCTAAAATGGTCATCTACAATAACATCAGTCAAAACAGCCAGAAAAGTAACTCCAACCTTACTTTTTCCGCTTATTACACAATTCAGTGCGCGAAAGCAAAAGTTACGTGTTTGGTGAAAAAGTTGGCTGATAAGCCTGATAAGCCGAAAAACAGCGTTGCCAAACGACTTCATAGTAGTCATATTTTGGAATTCACAAACATATGTTGCATGGAAACGTAAAAATCATGAGAAAACAGGAAAAGACAAACGTCATCTTTTACTTGAAAAACAATTATTTAGAGACTTTCTAAAGAGTTTTCGAAATTAAACATGCTCTTTCATAGTCAAACGTTTTTTACTCATATTTGAGGAATTTTCCTAATTACAATAGTCATTGTCTATGTCCATATTTTAATCCTATTGTATTTTCATACTTCTTGTTTAATTAGGAACATATACTATTGTATAACAAATACACTCAAAAAAAGGAACCTATAACAAATATCGGAGTAAAAACATTAAACTTTATGCATTAAACTTTATGAATTTTCCTTCAAAAAAAAAAGAGAACTTTATGAATTAATTAATGTAATAAATAAAGCCAAGGGAGGAGTCCGGAGGACTGACCTGCTGCATTGCTGGCAGAAGCGCTGGGGAACGCCCTTGAGAAAGACAACTGGGGCCTTCGCGTGGACTTCGCACACTTTGTGCCTCTTGTGGTACGCCTTCGCAAAGCTCAGATCCGCGCCACACGTCTCCACCACACACCCCGACGGCGCCACCCCTCCGCCGCCGCCGGAACTCGACCCGCCGGCCCTCTTCCCCGACTCTCCGACTCTACTCATCAGATCTATTTTCTTTGTCCTCTTCAACAAATGAAGCTCCCCAGTCCTCCCCTCTTCGTTCTTTTCGTCTTCCTCCTCTTCTTCTCCGTCTAACGCCTCCTCCTCATCGTCCCCGGAAAGTTCTTCTTTCCGGGCATTCATGGCGGGTGAAAGCCCTCCCCGGACCCCGAGAAAATTGGTCTCCATTTTTTTGGCGGTCTTGTGATGGGAAAACCAGAAGAAACAAGAAAGTGCGAAAAAGAAGAATGATTGACGAGAGAAATGAATGAATTGTACCGAGTACGGTGGGGGCAGGGTAATGAATGGAAGTGACGGTATACTGTGACAGAACGAGTTTGAAATAAAGTGAGGACCACCACTACCACAACTAACACCCAACCAATTATATGAAATGGTGGCCCGGCGCGGTCGCGGTGGTGGCGCAGCATGCTTTTGTTTAGTTTCATTCCTCCAAAAGTTGAATCGGGCAGTTCATTTCTTATTCATTTGGTCAACACAAATCACTCTTAATATCTTACTTTATGTATCAATTTTTTAATCAAATTTGATTCTGCTTTTGCGACTTTGTAAAGCTTTTAATGTACTTTTTGAATATGAAAAAAAAATTCTAAAAAAAATTTGAGTGCGGACAAGGATCTGATTACTTTATCGTCGGTCAAACATTGTAAACTGCAATGAGACAATAAAAGGGGGATGGAGGTAATATGGAATTTGGAGGAAAGACCAATATTCAAAATTCGTAGTAACCGTGTAGAGGTTACCTATCCTGCGTGATGAGCTAAACATCTGGTGTGTACGGGTATAAGACCTATCATCGTTGGACCGACTGAATTATCTTGTCTTGTCAGGTCGGAGCGTGAGAGACTGTTGGGGTTGGGGATTCAACCTTTTTGTAGGAGTTAATGACATTCACGTCCGACTTGACAAGACATATGAGAAGTGGTAAATCACAACGACTTATTCAACCTAATAGTGAGACTTTATACATGTGCGCATCATAGGTCCAACCCAGCACAGAAGAGCTATAATCTCAATACAGTCGTTGCATGTTTTATTTAGTTTTCAAATACTAGTATTATGTAGTACTTTGTCTATCTTAACTACGGAGTATGTTTTCAATTAGACTCAAATGGCGATGTGGAACGAGCAATAAGGATCAAAAGGGATTGCTATAAGAAATTGGGCAAAAGTTGGAGCAACGAGAACATAGAGGAGTACAAGGAGGCTAAAAGAAGAGCAAAGAAAGCTATAAAAGAAGCAAGAAGAAAAGTGAACAAGGAATTGTATGTAAAAACTGGACTCTAAGGAAGGAGAAAAAAATAATATACTTAAAGACTTGCTCGCCTTCGTGATTGTAGAACTCAAGATATCAGAAAAATTAAATTTGTGAAGGATGTTGATCAAAGGGTACTAATGGAGGACGTCGAAATAAAAGAGAGGTGGAGGTCATACTTTGATACCTTGTTCAATGAGAATAAAGTGCAAGGTGTTGGTGATCTTACTATACAAGAGTGTATGGTAAATTGGGACTTCGTGAGAAGGATCCAAATAGCCGAAGTTAAAGAGGTTTTGAGAAAGATGGGGCGGGAGAAAGCAGTGGGCCCAGATGGCATACCGATCGAGGCGTGTAGAAGTTTAGGAGAGAAAGGCATTAAGTGGCTATCACGTTTCTTCAACATGATTTCGGAGAAACAATAAAATGGGAGTGAGTTGGCGGAAGAGTAGTCTCATTCCCCTATTTAAAAATAAGGGTGATGTACAAGAATGTGCCAACTATTGAGGGATTAAGCTTATGAGTCACACCATGAAACTTTGGGAGCGAGTGGTAGAGCAAAGACTTCAAAAAAGTGTGACAAATTCGGAGAATCAGTTTGGTTTTATGCTTGGACGCTCAACAACTGAGGTCATTCACCTTGTTAGACAAGTTGTGTAGAAGTATAGAGACATTAAAAAGTATATGCATTTGGTGTTCATTGACTTAGAAAAGGCATATGATAGGGTACCTCGAGAAGTCCTTTGGTGGGCCTTAACTAAAAAAAGGCATATCACGTAAGTATATCAGTATCATAATAGATATGTATGAGGCTTGTACTATGAGTGTTCGAACTAGTGTAGGGAGGAACTTACGAAGTCAATTCAAGAAGATATACCATGGTGCATGATGTTTGTTGACGATATTGTATTGATTGACGATACACAATCAGGTGTTAAAGCAAAGTTGGAAGTATGGCGACAAACATTGGAGACCAAGGGTTTCAGACTGAGCTAAAACAAGACTGAGTATATGAAATGCAAGTTTGGTGGAGGTAGAAGTAGTAGCAATAGTGAGATCACTCTTGATGGTAAGGAGATACCGGTGTGTGATATGTTTCCTTACTTTGGCTCCATAATTCAGAAGAATGGTGAATTAGATGGAGATGAATCTCATAGAATCAGAGCTGGGTGGATGAAATGGAAGAGTGCATCAAGCTTTCTATGCGATCGAGGTATGCTGACTAAATTGAAAGGTAGATTTTATCGAACAACAATTAGACCTGCATTAATGTATGGGGCAGAGTGTTGGGCGGTGAAACAATGTCACATTCAAAAGATGAGTGTGACAGAGATGCGTATGTTGCGTTGGATGTGTGGACATACTAGAAAAGACCGGTTGTGTGACACCGCACCCGGATGTACTTGAATTTGAAATTCGACATGTAATTGAATTTCCTAGCGAATGAATTCGTGTGACAGAATTGATACATTTAATTAATGTGAGATTAATTAAATTATTCTTCGGGTCCATTATATGAGAATGGGCCATCAAATATTTAGTTGGGTCATCATAATAAATTATAGAAGCCCAATAAAGTGCCAACAAAGTTGATAAAAATATTTGGACAACCCGAGTGACATTTTGGCCCAAACCTACCGAAAATAACGGGAATAATTGGGAGGGACTTCCTACACCCACTTGGGGTAAACTTTTACCCACTATTAGACCCAAATAATGGGAAGGGGACAAGCTAGCATGGTTTGGGGCGGAGTGTTGAGTGAGGTGATGTGCAAGACAAACACCCACTCCCTTTTGGCCTTGTCTACTATTGATTGGGGGTGGGATTGATTAAGGATACTTCCTCTATCCTTTCCACACCATACGCACAAGAGCAAGGGAGAGAGAGACCTGTGATAGCTCTAGCAAAGTCTTAGCTTGGAAGAAGCAAGGGGAAAAGAATCCAACAAGAAATAGCTTGATGTTGAGGTAAGAACCCATCAAACACTTTTAACTAGTTTATTTTTGTATGATTTTTAAGAAATCATATGGTGGATTGAACCATGAGTTTTACATGTTTAAAAGTGTATTATATGGTTATAAAGTGGGGGTATTTAACTTAGAAGAGTCGTGGAATCGATAGGAGTTGAAACCGCCGGAAACCGCCAAGTGTAGGAGGCTGTTCGTAGTAGCAGACGACGAAAGCCGCCCAGCTTTCGTGAAAGCCGCCCGGCTTTCACCTTCTGCCCAGATTTTTCGCTTTCGATCGGTTCAGAACGGGGGTTGATCGGAGGGCTTAATAAAGGCAACTATTTCAGCACTTCATAAGGTGAGGATGGCTGACTATATTGCTTATAATCTTTGGGTTAATTTCATGAGATTACCTAAGGTAATTAAATATGTTTTTAAGGATTATTAATGATTAATAATGCCTAAGAAAGAGAAGACTATTGTCTATAAGGAAAAGAGCATAATATACAAATTTGTAAGAGATTGTGTATGATTATGTGATATGAAAGAAATGGTATGGTAATGGAATTAACTATGAAAATTGTGATAAAATATACTTTTACTTCATGTATGAAATTCATGAATGGATAAAAGTGATATTTTTGATATTGGGATTAAATCATATTTGGATTGGAAAATCAATTGAGATAAACTATTTGGTTATGAATTTAGAACTTGGTTGTTCTAAGGTTATTCGACTAGTATCGAAATACTAGTCAGGAGATTTATATAAATAAATGATGGAATTAATCCTAAGAGATAGGATTGTGAATAGATATGCCTTAAGTAGTCTTAAGAGATGCTTTAAGGTCGAATTGTATGAACACTAAGGTGTGTTAGGGGTAGGCCTAAAGGCTATCCAAGTGAATTGATTCTAGGCATAGGATTTGCTTGAGAATTGAGCTATGAAAATAAATTAGAGTCGGACTCTAGGATTACATGGAAATGTAGTTGGGCCGAGCCCTTGCCATGTAACGTGATTAGCATGGAAACGTAGTTGGGCCGAGCCCTTGCCATGCATTGTGATCTTCATGGAAACGTAGTTGGGCCGATCCCTTGCCATGAAGTTACGGTTGGTATGGAAACGTAGTTGGGCCGAGCCCTTGCCATACAAATTTAGATATATTAAATTGAGTTAAAGGATTGTATAGAAATGTAGTTGGGCCGAGCCCTTGCTATACGATCGGGACTTGAGGGAACCCTATGGGGTTGTCGTGACTCATGGTCACGGAAAGTGAAAATGGAAAATTCTAAATGAATATGGGCCACGGGCCGACTACTCGACTTTATATAAAGTAAGTATATTTATAAAACAGGGTAACCGGGGGTTACGGCCTACGATATAATATCACTCTATTTGAGGGTCTTAAGAAATTGAAACATTGATTATACTTAGTATAGTTGTCATTGTACTTGTCAAATGCTTCCAAGTACTGACCTCCCCTTCATGGGGGAGGCCACCTCACAGTTTCAGGTAGGACTTGAAGAGTTGCTGCCACCACCCGTTGCTTCGGGGAGATCAAGGGAAGAAGACGTGGTTCGTGCTTCTTCCGTTTCTGTTTTGAAAACAATCTAAATAATGCTCATGGATATTATTTTGAATATTTATTTGGGGCTTGTATGCCCGTGTTTGCCACGTGTGGCTCGGATATTATATTAATGTTTCCGCTGCTTAAATTAAATGTTTTACATTGTGATTGTTTATGGATGTACTATCGTGAATGGTATTCAAGACGCCTTGTATAGTATGGATGAGTTGGACTGCGGTCGACTGTTCGTACTATACGGCGGGTTGTTGACGTGTCCGGTGGGTCCGGGGCGTGACAATTTAATTGGTATCAGAGCCTTAGTCCGTAAACTTCATAATGAAGCTTCAAAATTCCTTTTTGAAAATGATTTTGGAAACCATGAGCATAAAGTTTTGTACTTATAGAACTTTTGGTACTTGAGTTGCAAGGTCTCTAATTGTTAAGATGGTACCCTTAACAATTGGCATGGCGGCGATTTGAGCCAAAGGATGTCTTTAAGTGCCTATCCGTCATTTGACATTT